GCTCGCAACGGTGAGGAAAGGACGCGTTTTCACAAAGTTGGATCTGCGAGGGGCGTACAACCTGATTCGCATACGGGAGGGCGACGAATGGAAGACTGCCATGTTCACGCTGGGCACCTATGAATACAGAGTTATGCCCTTTGGATTACAAAATGGCTCCCACTGTTTTCAAGCCTTCATGCATCACGTATTGGCGGGTCTCCTCTACAAGAAATGCGTCTGCTTCCTGGACGACATCCTGATATTTTCAGAATCAGAGGAGACCCACGAGGGAGACGTCAAGGAAGTTCTGCAGAGACTGCAGGAGCACAGGCTGTACGCCAAGCTGGAGAAGTGCCAGTTCGACATGAAGGAGGTAGATTTCCTGGGCTACAAGTTGTCGGACAAGGGGCTCGCCATGGACAGCGCCAAGGTTCGCTCAGTGTTGGACTGGAAGAGCCCGCGCAATCGGAAGGAGGTCCAGCGGTTTGTCGGTTTCGCCAACTTTTACCGCAAGTTCATCAAGGGGTTCGCGATGCAGACGGCGGCCATTACCGACACGCTCAGCTCCAAGAAGAAGAAGTTCATCTGGACGGAGCAAGCGGAGCAGTCCTTTCAGAAACTCAAGCGTCTCTTCTCGTCCGAAGAGCAGCTACTGCATGTGAATCCCAGCAGACCGATGAGGGTTGAAACGGACGCCTCAGACAGAGCCGTGGGAGCAGTACTGTTGCAGCAAGACCCGCATGGGGACTGGAGACCGTGTGCCTTCTACTCCAGGAAGCTCAGCAAGTCAGAGCAGAACTACACCATCTGGGACAGGGAGTTGCTGGCCATTCATGCAGCATTCAAGGCGTGGCGGCACTTCCTCATTGGAGCCAAACACACAGTGCAGGTCCGCACGGACCATAAAAACCTGGAGTACTGGCGCACGGCAAGGTTCCTGAACCAGAGGCACATACGATGGGCGGAGTTCTTTGCGGATTTCGACTTCAGGATAGAGTACATCCCAGGCGACAACAACATCATGGCGGATGCACTGTCCAGAAAGCCGCAATACCTCGAGGAGGCGGCACCAGCAGCGGCCAAGCACATTTTCGCACCGAAAGCGTGGGCGTGCGCTTCAGCAACCGTGGACCTGGATGCTGTACGTCGAGCACTGCAGGAGGACCCCTTCGCGCAAGCAAAGATGGCAGAGGTGCAAAGGGGCACGGCGGAGGACGACGAGTTCCAGATACGCGACGGATTGCTCATCCGCAGAGGGGCCCTCTACGTACCGGGAGACGACCTCCGCGCGAAAGTACTGCAGCAGTTGCACGACGCACCCACCGCCGGGCACTTTGGCAAAGAGAAGACGGTAGAATTAGTAGCCAGAGATTTTTGGTGGCCCAAGATGCGGGGGAAGTCGCGGATTACGTCTCGAGGTGCGACACCTGCCAAAGGGCCAAGTCAGTGCACAAACCGCCGGCGGGACTGCTCGAACCGCTGCAGACACCGCTCGAACCGTGGGAGAGGGTGGCCCTGGACTTTGTCACGGATCTACCCAGCTCGAGGGGCAAGACGGCAGTGCTAGTGGTGGTGGACATGTTCACCAAAATGGCCCACTTCATTCCGTGCGCGAAGGTGGCCACGGCGGAACAGACCGCCAAACTGTTCATAGACCACGTGTTCAGGGTTCACGGTCTGCCACGGTCTATCCTGTCCGACCGGGGGCGACAGTTCATCTCGAACTTCTGGCAGAAGCTGATGGGTTTCCTGAACGTCAAGATCAACCTAGCGTCGGCGAGACACCCGCAGACGAACGGACAAGCGGAGCGAGTCAACGCCATCATGCAGCAGTACCTGCGATGCTACGCAAATCAGCAGCCGGCAACATGGGTGGACTACCTGCCGCTCGCTGAGTTCGCCTACAACAACACGAAGCACGTGTCCACGGGGGTGACACCGTTCTTCGCCAACAACGGGAGGCATCCCAGAACCTTCCCGGGATTAGCGAGAGCGGGGAGGGGGAGCCACAGGCAGCGGAAGCCTTAGCATCAGAGTTGCAGGAGGTTCACGAACAGCTTCGGAGGCAGTTAGAACTAGCAAAGCACGCATACAAACTGCAGGCTGACAAGCACAGAAGGGTTGGGGAAGACATACAGGTGGGAGACTGGGTTTGGTTAGCAGCCCAGGCAGTGCCGGCCAGATCGTTAGCGAAGAAGAAGCTAGGGCATAAGCAGCTAGGACCCTACCAAGTCGAGGCACAGGTCAATCCAGTGGCCTTCCGGTTGACACTGCCGGAGGGATCCAGAATGCACCCAGTTTTCCATAGATCAGTGCTCACGCCCTACAAAGCACCTCATAGATTTCAGGAGCCAGGAACGGCACCAGACCCGTTCAGGGAAACGCCCACAAGGGGGTCGCCAAGGCGGGAACCCGTCAACGAAGTCACAGAGATTTTAGACTCGAGATGGGGGGAAGAGGGAGTAGAATATCTTCTCGCCAGAGAAGGTACCCCGGCCAGCGCCAACAGTTGGGTGCCAGACCATGCCTTGGACGAACCTTTTCTCAAGGACGAGTTTCATGCCCTTTTCCCACACAGGCCCATGCCAGCCGAGTATTTCGACGACTGGCTTTTCACACCCACATTTTCAGCTAGCACATTCCAGGGGTTCACCTCGGACGAGGAACCGGCACTAGAAACACGTTCCCCGGAGGGATCACCCTCGGGGTCTGCCTCAGACCGTTCCTATTGGTGGGACAATCAACCAGAGGAGCAGTGGCGCAGGAAGTGGCTGGGGGGTCCTTGGCAGGCAACGTCCCCGGAGGAGACCGGGGGGAGAGACGGAGATGGACGTGTGGGGGGAGGCCCTGGGGTTCGCGCACGCCCGCAAAGAGATGGAAGCAGAGGAAATTGAGGTCGGCGAGAGCCCGGAGGACGAGCCGGACTTAACCCCCAGGATGCCCGCCACGGGGGACGAACGGTAACCCGCACTCACCCCCACAACCACGGAGCACCCAGTACCCACACCAGACGGAGGGGAGGGGGAAGGGGGGCTTCGAGGGGGATGGATGTCAGGGGTTCAGGAGCAGAGGCACAGGAAAGGGAGGAAATAGAGAGCGAGGGGAGGAGTCCGAAGGAAATGTTAGCGATGACAGCGGTCCGAGGTCTCTGAGTCTTTCCAGCGAATCGGAAGATTCACAGAAAGGGGCTCCCTTGGTCAGAGCAAGGGGGTGCCGAGGGGACACCCCAGGAAGAAGGGGCCAGAGGGGACTCAGAGAGCAGCAGTTGGAAATCAGGACCAGCGTCCACACCAGAGTGCAGTAGGGGGGAGGGGTCCCAGGCATCGGGATCAGGCGGCGCACTGCCAGTGGGAGGACATGAGTCAGGATTGGCCACGCCTCCATCGGGGAGCGAGGAAACGGTCGAGAGGAAGGTTGAAGGCTGGGCGCGCGCGCCAAGTTCAAATGTACAGGAGGGCGGCGCAGTTGGCAGCCCGGATAGGGAGCCAGGTCCCAAAGCCCGCCGAAAAGAGGCGGAGGAGTCAGGGGGGTCCGCGTCAGAAGAATCCAGGAAGGAAGGGACCCCGGGGGGTAGCAGGACCCAGAGGAGAAAGGAGAGACGTAAGAGGTGGAGTAAGGCTAGAATCTTAAACTGGTGTACAGGGGGCGGAGACTCAGATGGAGCTTCGCCGATCTAACCCCTAGACGTAGAGCTGGGGCGCTGCGGCTTGAAAATGGAAACTGTACTTCAATAAAGACTTTTGTACATTACTGCCGGCTAGCGTTGGTCCTCTGTGAGCTGGGACCTGGAGCCAGCTCTGACAGGTATATATGATTTTTTTTTTTTTTTTACAACCCAGTAAATAATCAGGGAGACAGGATTAAGTGGTTAAACTTAACATATATACGGTACTTAAAATATTATTGGAAGTGAGAGCTGGACCATAAAGAAGGCTGATCGCCGAAGAATTGATGCTTTTGAATTAAGGTGTAGGAGGAGACTCTTGAGAGTCCCATGGACTGCAAGAAGATCAAACCTATCCATTCTTAAGGAAATTAGCCCTGAGTACTCACTGGAAGGACAGATCGTGAAGCTGAGGCTCCAACACTTTGGCCACCTCATGAGAAGAGAAGACTCCCTGGAAAAGACCCTGATGTTGGGAAAGATTGAGGGCACAAGGAGAAGGGGACGGCAGAGGACGAGATGGTTGGACAGTGTTCTTGAAGCTACCAGCGTGAGTTTGACCAAACTGCGGGAGGCAGTGGAAGACAGGAGTGCCTGGCGTGCTCTGGTCCATGGGGTCACGAAGAGTCGGACACGACTAAACGACTAAACAACAACAAAATATTATTGCATTTTACAGAAGTGGTGTACCATGTAGGGGATTCACAAATAGTCCCGCTACACACCAGCTGGGGTGAAGTCCTCTGGCACATTATAGAAAGCTGTGCCCACCTGCAATTGGCCCCTTAGCATCCAGATTTCCTTAGCAGAAGCAGCACTGGCAGCCTAACCTAGAGAGAGAGTGAAATGACAGGGAGGTGCGGCTCTGAAGCAGACACACCGGTGTAGTTTAAATAATCTGATTAAAATAAAAGGTGGCAGAAGTGAAATATTAGGTTAATATAAGTACAACAGATATAAAGTCTGAGGTTGGTTTGTTTTTTTAATTAGCTGAATGTTTTGCCTCTTGAGCTACAGTGACCTCTACTGGATTAAAACTTTGAATCACATGGAATGATTTTATTGTCACTGGGCATAGTTCTAAATCCAACTGTTCTATGATAACGTTCAATGAAACCACCATTAAGAGCATTGGAAGCTGCAGTCCTATACCTGCTTACCTGGGAGTAAGCACCACTGAACTCAATAAGGCTAACTTCTGAATAGGCACACTGTGAATCCCATTGATTTGAACAGAAGAGTTAATTTTACAACCATATTTCCTTAGATGATTTCATCAAGTGCTCACAAAAAATGGATATGAAAGATAAATTAATAAGAATGCACCAGTTTGCTGTTGCTGATTAAAACTTTCATTGAGTGTTTCAGGCCTTTAATATGACAATGCAGCTACATGCTGTAGAATAGCCAGCTTTTTCTGATACAATTAAATGTTTCATTATAGATTGCTAAAAATATGAGGATAATTGCTCCCCTGCAATTCAGGTAACAATGGGGTGATTATACATTGTTACGAAGCATTGAAAAATGCAACAGTAAGTTTAGGAAAAAAGGAATTTCTGGGTAATTCCTGTTTTTGTTTTGAATGGCCTGAGGTTATATTCTGGCTAAATATCACCTACGAATAGAAACCATGCCAGTTTGTGCCACCTACCTAAGGTAGATAATCTTTAAATTACTATTTGAAGCGTGTTCAGTAGAAGACTTTGTGGCAAAAATAAATTAAGTTTAGGACACATGCTAATTCCATGACTGTTTGAATGCAGATGTGAGTTCAATAGGACCCCACATTATTTTCTGGCATGGCTTGACTATTTTAGGCTAGTTTTACCAAGGCAATTCTATCTCCCCACCATGATCTCTTTGCTCATGGTATGCGACCTGATATTCAGCCCTACACATAAGACATAGGCAACGTGAGTTTGAAAACATGATTTAGAAAGAAGTGATGGATATGAGACAAGGCATTTTTGAATGCAAGATATTTGCAGCTGAATATACCTAGCCTGTCCAAGAAAACGCTAGAGCTGGAATTAAATCGTAATCTGTGAGCATTGTGGATGGGTGAACAGTTCACATCTTGAACCAGGCAAACAAATATTTGATTGAAGACTCAGCCCTGAAAAGATGAAAGAGATGCTTATTAGGATATGTAAAGTAGTTCACTCAAAGCAACACCACAGAAATATATCCAGATCACCTGATAGGATCAAATCTTTATGACATGCTTGCATAGCAATAAATCTTAACATTCTAATATATGAGAGCTGTGAGAATATGAAAATGGAATGTTCAGACGCTTATAAAAGTAGTGCTTAAAAACAGCATCCCCTAAATTCAAAAATTCTGCAAGACCTCCTTGCCACTGCCTCAGAACAGACATACCAGTGCTGATTTCAGCTACTGCCCCAACGACATTTGATTCCGTCTTGCTCTGGCAGTATGGGTGAGTTCCCACATGTCATTACTCAAAGGCTGCAACGTCCAGTGATTACTTCTAACCATTACATTCATGATTCAAATACCATGGGCACAAATTTCATTTTACCCAACTCTGTTGGGCAAAATGGACGACACTTAAAAAAACAACAGCAGCAAAGAAAATTACTAAATTCACTAAAATGCATGTTATAGAACACCCAAATCATATTCAGTTGATGAGTCAAGGGAAACAAGCTGTATGCATGTAACAAATGGCAGAATGTGTGTTGTGGGAATCAGCTTGTGTTTTTGTTGCTGGGTGCAACAAATACGAGGATGGGGGCCACACAATACTTGCGCCAAGTGATCTGCTAAACTCAAGAAGCTCATCTGTCAAATTATTTCAATCAACGGAATCAGGCATTCAGATTCTGTGTCTCCTCATATTCCGGACATGGTGTAGAAACACTGCACACTTGAGGCATGATTGCTTCCAAAGGGAAGATGAATGTTTAGATTCTAAGCCAGGGGGAAAATGATAATTCTGTAGTGATTAGTGTGAATGGTCAAGGGATATTGGGAAGTGGAGTGGGGAGAACTCGACGTACAGTGGTACCTTGGGTTGCATACGCTTCAGGTTACATACGCTTCAGGTTACAGACTCCGCTAACCCAGAAATAGTGCTTCAGGTTAAGAACTTTGCTTCAGGATGAGAACAGAAATCGTGCAGCGGCGGCGCAGTGGCAGCAGGAGGCCCCATTAGCTAAAGTGGTGCTTCAGGTTAAGAACAGTTTCAAGTTAAGAACGGACCTCCGGAACGAATTAAGTACTTAACCTGAGGTACCACTGTATAGTATGCCCAAGGAGCATCATCTGAATGTTTAGAAATAGTCCATATACCTCAACATGAAGGATAAAATAGCAAGGTGGGGAAAGTAAAATATAATAAGCTCCCCAGAAGAAGGGTGGGATAATATATATATAATAAACAGGGGCAAAACTAGGCTTTATTTCACTCAGGTCAAAGAGCCAGTTTGACATTTGTGCACACACGCAAACAGAGGTTGGAAGCCTCAATGGCGCCCCCTCTGGAAGCTTCACATGGGGCATAAAACACAGCTAGCCCCCCACCCGCGTAGCTATGGCTCTGTAATATAAAACAAGCCATCTGTGGGACTGCTGAATAACGAGGGACAGCTGTGTATGCAGCTGAGATGCGTGTGTGTGTGAAGGGTTGAAAGAGAGGGAGGGTGCAGAAAAGGCAAGGCACCGTCAGGATGCATGCAACACGCGTGCGGTGCAACCCTATAAACACGTTTACTCAGAAGTAGGCGTCCTCTTAACCCAGGGGGGTTTACTCTCTCGTATTCCGTGCTTCGGACTGCCCTGTTATAAGAAGAGCGAAATGTGCCTCGGGGTCACAAGAAGTGGAGGGTGTTGTTACCTGCCGCTCCTCCTGAAGCCGTCCTGCGAAGAGTCCCTTCCTTCCTTCTCTGCGAGGCTGGCACGAGGGCGACCCGGGGACACCAGCCTCCTTCTTTTATTTATCCCGTCTCCCCGTCGGAAGCGGCGCCTTCCCAAAACGCGCGCCAAAAAACAACAACACAGCAACCCCACAGGCAGCGTCTCTTCCGCCAGCCGCGGCGCCTTCCCGCCACTTCGGAGCAGGGCCAGGCGACCGGGCAGACACGCAGCGTCCCTCGCGCGGCGGCTGGGAGACCGAGCTGGCGGCTGCTCGCCTCCCGGCTGCGCCCCGGCGCGCGCGCCTCTGCTTTTCAGGAGAGCGAACCCCGCGCAGCCTCCGCCGGCCTGTGGGGGCGCCGAGGAGGAGCGCGCGCATTTGCTCGCTCCCTCGCCGCCGGTTCCATAAACCGAAGGGGAGTTGGGGGGGTGGGAGGAGAAGGGTCCTATTCTTTGGTCGCAGAGCTGTAAAACCCAAGTTTCAATAAACTTAACCTGTGTTGATAACGAGGGTGGGCTTTTAACCAGGAGGGGTGTGTTTGTGGGTGTGTGTAATGGATATTACAATACACGGTGATAAGTCAACTAAGCCCTAATGGGCACAGCCACATTAAAATTAATCGATGCAAGTTTGTTTTATTATTAAAAAAAGAGGTTTATATACTGCAGCACTATCAGAGTGGTTCAGAGCAATTGTACAGTTAAAACACACACACACACACACACACACACACACACTTAAAAGCGTTTAAATCAGAACTAATCAGCTAACTATTAGGGAACGAAATAAACAACAAAGACCAGCTAACTGTTATGGAAAGATGGACTGCATAAGCCTGATGAAATACAGTGGTACCTCGGGTTACATACGCTTCAGGTTATAGACGCTTCAGGTTACAGACTCCGCTAACCCAGAAATAGTGCTTCAGGTTAAGAACTTTGCTTCAGGATGAGAACAGAAATCGTGCTCCGGTGGCGCAGCGGCAGCAGGAGGCCCCGTTCGCTAAAGTGGTCTTCAGGTTAAGAACGGTTTCAGGTTAAGAACGGACCTCCGGAACGAATTAAGTACTTAACACGAGGTACCACTGTAGAAACCTTTTCAGCAGGTGTTTTAAAACTTGAAACTTCATCCATTGATTTCAGTTGGTCCACCTGAGGATGATTAACAATGGACACACAATAGGTATATTAACGTGCTAAGAGGAAGGCACGCTTGGAAAATCCACACTGTGATCAACTCCCACCAGGGAACCAATGTCCCCACTGTGGAAGGACGCGTGGATCCAGAATTGGCCTCCACAGTTACTTATGGCCTCATTGTTAAAACCTTGTTTATGGAAGACAATCTTACTTGGCTACGAGTGATCGCCAAAGAAGAAGAAGAAAGAAAGTTTAATATATACATATATGTAATAAGCAATGCTTCACGTTTGTAAAATGCATACACCTATGACACATATTATAACAAATATATGATAAGAAACACTTTGCATATGTGAAATACATACAAAACCTGCAGGGCTACAAGAGGGTACGTCTGTTGTTGCCATACCAGGATTTCCAGAAGAATGCAACTGAAAATTGCACTCAAAGTGTTCATGATATTTTAAAAATCTCCAATAGACCTTTGTGGGAGACCATCATCCGAGGTAAAGAGTAAACAGAAAATATTTGGATAACCCGCTCTTTGTTTATTGTCTACTGTTGATATAAACTGTATAACCCATGAAAGCAATAAGATTTGGGTTCCAAGTTGTCTGAGTACCAAGGCATTTGAGAACCAAGGTACCACTGTATTGGGAGTTTGAACCCACTGTTTTCTAAACAGAATCTGTGACCTGATATGTAGCTTTGCATGATTTAGATATGGACAAGAGTAAGTATTAGAAATGTTTCAATCAGCGCTTTCCCCTTATTCCTATTACGTATGTAATTGAAATCAATAGGATGCATGAATCTGCACTGCTGATTATATACAGTGGTACCTCGGGTTACATGTGCTTCAGGTTACATACGCTTCAGGTTACAGACCCCACTAACCCAGAAATAGTGCTTCAGGTTAAGAACTTTGCTTCAGGATGAGAAAAGAAATCATGCTCCGGCGGCGTGGCAGGAGCAGGAGGCCCCATTAACTAAAGTGGTGCTTCAGGTTAAGAACAGTTTCAGGTTAAGAACGGACCTCCGGAATGAATTAAGTACTTAACCCGAGGTACCACTGTACATCATAGTGTTATAAGTTTGGGTGGGGGTTAGGCTGAATGATGCCTGAGCATGAGCGTAGCCAAGGGAGGGGCAGCTGCCTTCCCCTAAATAAAATTCAATAAAAATACATAGCAAACTGAGGTTCTTCCCCTCCCCCCAACAAAAATCCTGGCTATGTCCATGTGCCTGAGTCCTTTCTAATTCCTGGATCCAGCAAAGGTTAAAATCTAATGGAGGATCCCATTGAGTTTGGGTGGGGGTTAGGCTGAATGATGCCCAAGTCCTTTCTAATTCTTGGATCCAGCAAGAGCTAAAACCAAATGGATCATTCCACTGTTTAATGGCCCCTGATTATGGGTCCTTAGTGTAAGAAAGGAAGTGGCTCTGTGCTCCCTCTCTCACCTGGATGGTAGTGAGAAGGACAATAGCCACAGAGTGTGTGTTTGGGCTGGGCTAGAAGCAAGAAGCAGCCAGCAACCTGAGCGTAAGTGGCATGCTTGATTTCTGCTTGAATCCAAAGCTGGGTCTATGGGAGAAGCAATACCTTCTGGGGTGTTAATGCTGCGAGCCCCTCCATCTTAGGCTCAGGTTGTATGTTGTTGTTTAGTCGTTTAGTCGTGTCCGACTCTTCGTGACCCCATGGACCAGAGCACGCCAGGCCCTCCTGTCTTCCACTGCCTCCCGCAGTTTGGTCAGACTCATGTTTGTAGCTTCGAGAACAGTGTCCAACCATCTCGTCCTCTGTCGTCCCCTTCTTCTTGTGCCCTTCATCTTTCCCAACATCAGGGTCTTTTCCAGGGAGTCTTCTCTTCTCATGAGGTGGCCAAAGTATTGGAGCCTCAGCTTCAGGAGCTGTCCTTCCAGTGAGCACTCAGGGCTGATTTCCTTAAGAATGGATACGTTTGATCTTCTTGCAGTCCATGGGACTCTCAAGAGTCTCCTCCAGCACCATAATTCAAAAGCATCAATTCTTTGGCAATCAGCCTTCTTTATAGTCCAGCTCTTACTTCCATACATCACTACTGGGAAAACCATGGCTTTATGTCTGTAAATAAACCATATATCCTAAAGACACCACAGTCACCGCTGTCTCTCATTCTGAGGAAACTGAACCCTGGGTAACCCCCGGAACCTTGCGCCGTTCAGGGGATTGGGGTGGCATGCAACAATATTGTCCCAGACTTAAGCTTCAGCTCAGCTTGTTGCATGTACTTTCAGACCATGCCCAGGGGCTAGTCATCAATACACTTTTAAGATATAAATCCTGGAGAAAGATCAATGTGTAAATGAGTAGTCAATGCTTTCTGCCCTGATCTCCTAACTGTATTTCAAACCTCCCTGAGTTTCTAGTGATTGCCTGTTTTTCTTCTAGATGCTATTATATATATTTTTTCTTTTTAAAAATCAAATTACTTTCTAAATGAGTTGTGGGCATTGATTTGTAAATCCTCACATCTTTTTTTCTTGAAAAAAGAAGAAGTTCATTATTTCACCTTCACTGGATATTTTTATACAGTACTGTTTTGCACAGATTTCCAAATGCTAATGGATATTTTCACTGCTGGTTTCTTCAGCACCCTGAGGTGTAAGTCAGCAACTTTTGCTGTCTAAAAATCATTGCAGTTGGTCAAATAGTTTCAATCTGCATTTTTCCTGTCAAAACTTGACTCCTTTCTCTCCAGTTGTCCTGGCTAGTATTTTCATGAAGCTTAGATGCAAGTCCCTTCTCTAATGCCTGAATATATCACCGTATATGCTATTCAGCTGAAGAACTGTGAGCTAAATTCTGTTATCTGCAAAATAAATTAGTATTTCACAGGGGAAACCAGCAGAAAGGAACAGGAATACAAAAAATGCAGATTTTTTTGCCTTGATATAAATGATCCATGATTGGGCACAATAGCTTCAATTTTGATTTCAGGCAATATTAAAGTTTCTCTTGAGTGCTCCCTTGCAGGGCTTCTGCTTCACTCGATTATGATTCATGGACGCTAATGGATTTGCCTATCATCTCTCCTCAAATATCTAGCCAATATGAACACAGAATTCAGTATTAGCCAAATAGTTGCATTCCTCTGTTTTGCAGACTGTGTTTCTCAATATAGAGGTCCTTCAGACATCCTTTTTTATTGTGCATGCATGATAATTTGTGCTCATGATGCTATTGGGGTGGTCATAAGCAAACCCCACTTTTAATACTGTTTGCACCCACAAAGGTTTTGGGGCAGCCCTACTGCTTCATGTCCAATCAGTGCACATCCCATAACTTCCTGATGGAATCCCACGACTTTCTACACCACAAATGTTCTGGTCTTTTTGTTGTCTCGCTTTTCTTGTGCTATACCCCTCCAGATGGCAATAACTTGGGGAAGCATTGGAGAATAAAGCAGAATAAATCCACCACTAATCTACCATTACTGTGCATTCTACTAGGTCTTGACAATAATGTAGCTAGCCCAGGGGTCCACAAACGTTTTCAGCAGGGGGGCGGTCCACTGTCCCTCAGACCTTGTGGGGGGCTGGACTATATATATTTCTTTTTTGGGGGAAATGAATGAATTCCTGTGCCCCACAAATAATCCAGAGATGCATTTTAAACAAAGGCACACATTCTACTCATGTAAAAACACGCTGATTCCTGGACCGGATTTAGAAGGCGATTGGGCCAGATCCGTCCCCCGGGCCTTAGTTTGCCTACCCATGAGTTAGAGGCAGCTTCTCCATCCCTTGTAGCATGTGGAAGGATTTAGGTTGGGACAGAGGAGCCATGTCCATTGTAGAAGCCCTGACCATGCCTGTGGGTGGGGCTGTGGGTGCAGTTCAACTTCTGGTGGGGGTTAGGCAATTGGTAACCAGTGTGAGGCCCCAAATGGGGCATTTTTTAAAATATTTTTTTTATTAGGAATTTCAACAAAACATTTTATCAAAATACATATCATCCTTAATTCCCCCCTATTTCCCCCCTCCCCAAAATGTAACCCCCTCCCCCCCTCAGACTTCCCTCAGCTCCTCTCTCTGGTTTATCAACAAATGTTATTCTCTGCATGTTACAAAATTGTACAGATCCTTAATTTATCTAACTAGCTGTTATCAATAAA